AAAGAGATAATGATCTTGCAGTATAATTTTATAAGGAGGTAACAAAATCAAGTGCATTATCTCAAATGTAAACATTGAACGGCGTGTCCCAAGGCTGGTTAAGATAGGTTGTAACTGTGGCAAATGCTCATCCACTATTATAGATTATTTTAGATGAAAGTAAACATTGGCTAATTAACATTTGACAACATAGGAGCATAGCTCCTATGAGCTTCTAGCTTGATAGTCAAGAAAGAAGCCAGAAATACAATTATTAATGAAAGATCAACACAAAGTAGCCATGGACGCAGCTGAAGGCAGTGATGGACAAATAATTGGGCATTTTCTATGGTTAAATAGTAAAATTATAACAAATAATTGACCAAATAAGGAAGCACTCTGAGTTCACTGAAATTCTATGTGATTCTATAACATCTTATTAACCATCTAAATGAATCATTAAGAAGAAATTCAGCAAGCCATTAAGATATACTATTTCTATAAATATGACTGTGGGGTTATTATGATCTCTTTCAAGGTATGGTGATTAGAGAACATCTTTTATTGTTTGGGAATGTCATATAAAAGATTGACTTATAGCACTTAACTTATTTATTTTATCTTATAAAATAAAATCAGTACTTATGAGCCTCTGTAAACAAGTCCTTGGCATTTTGGAAGAAGGCAAATCTGCTTTATAAAGACCATACCTTGAGCAAGTTACTTCTAAATCTTTCAGAATAATCCACAAGTAATAGTTTGTATCTTTGTCAATATTAAATAACATAAATGTGCAAAGTTTCTTTTTTTTTAGATTTATTTATTTATGCATACAGATTGGGGTGCAGGCCAGAGGTTCAGGGGTGGTAAGAGGATTCACCAGAGACAGAGTGGGGAGCAGAACAGGCAGATCAACGAAATACACTGCTGGGGGAGCAGCGGGCCAGACAGGAGAGGTCTGCCGTGCATATGGGTCACTTTCCCGGCAGGGGATCCAACTCACACTGAAGCAGCTGCAGCCTGCTTGCAGTACTGCGTCCTAACCCGTTGTGCCACCAGGGAGAGATATATGTGTGAAGTTTTTACTTATACATATTAAACACTTGAGAATGAATTTTAAGAGACCTTCTTTTCTCTATCAAAAGTTTTTCAAAAGTAAATATACCATTTTCTTTATCTGAAATCAAATTTTTGTTTTAGTTTGAGTCAATGGTTCTGTAGTGGTTAGCCTGATTAGCTGACAATATGTAGGTCACTTTAACCTCTGAATATCTTCAAATTAACATACATTTTTAACACTTAACACTTTGTCTAAAAAGAAAGTCATTTGGATAGCTGTTGTTTTCTTGTGCTATGCTACAAAACTTGGCCAAGTTAACCACAAATCTGTTGAATGAATATAAAATGCCTATAGGCTCTACAGATTCACAAGTATGAATGATATGTAACTTCTTGTTTTTCCTGTCTCATTGTCTCTATATTTCCTTATGCCTTTTATTTTAAATAAAGTAGTACCTGACTCATGACTGGATCAAATAAGTAGTAACTGAATTGAGAGAAAAGGAAGTATTTTCATTGTGACATGAGACAGCAGCTCTTCAGGGAAGCCAGGGTGGTTCCTGACTAAATTTTCCAAGTTAAAAAACATTTTGTCACCTGCTTCTCATGCTCATATGAAAAAGTGCTTGGGTTAATTTGGGAAGGGGGAATAGAGATTTTGTTGATCACATTAAAAAGGAAGGCAGAACAATTAATGGCATCATTTTTAAAAAAGATTTATTTATTTTTATGCAGACATAGCTGGGTACAGGCCAGAGGTGTGTGTGTGTTGGTGGGGGGGAGGTGATGAGAGGACTCACCAGAGACAGAGTGAGGAGCAGAACAGGTAGATGTACTGAAATACACTGCTAAGGGGAGCAGTGGGTGGGTCAGGAGAGGTCTGCCAAGCTATGTGTGTCACCTCCCTGGCTGGGGGTACCGCAGTGGCTGCAGAGAGGTTCATAGTGCTACTTTAACCTGTTGCGCCACCAGGGAGGGCCCCTTATGGCATCTTTTACCTGTAGTTAGGGATTTAGTATTAAAGGAATCCTAGAAAAGAAATGGCTCTACCTCCTTAATTTACAGAGGAGGAAACAGAGGCCTGCAGAATTTAATTGTCTTCTTCAGGGGTGCTGAGCTACAAGAGGAACTCATCTCTTATTCTTTCCTTTTGAGTCAGTTCCTAAAGGCATTTGCCAGAGGAGAGCTGGTTTCTGTTGGAGACCAGCTCCAACTTTTGAGGTGTCTGGAGGTAGGACAGGCAGGACCCTAAGATGGGAAGGTGTCGGCGTGCAGAGATTCCAAGAAGGGGAGAGGGAGTGAGGAAGACACGGGAGTCGGAGTTGGGTGCAAATCTTCCTGCTCATCTTTTTGCAGGTCTTTATTTATACTGTTTAGCAAGATTTAGTTACAATAATGCCTTAGGTAAGTTAATAAGAAACCGACATAAAAGTTTCAAAGGAAGAGGGAAACAATGCATCTTTTTCCTTCTACTTTATGGCACACTATACTATACATCTTTGTGATAACTTTCATGTATACGGATGTTTAACTGTGACTTTAAAGGATCAGGGTCTGGGAAAGGATGAGCTGTTAGCAAAGGATTTAAGAGTCCTAGAGAAGGAATAAATTGTGTTAGCATAGTCGTCAGTGATAGCCTAAAGAGAAGCTAATGGTTAACTTAAGGTTAGCAGAGAGTAGCTAGTGTTTGTTTTAGGAAGAGGTTAAATAAGACTAGCAGAGAGTAGTTAGTGATAGTTTTAGGAAAAGAGTAAATTAAGAAGAAGTTACATAGTTGTGCATTAAGCAAAACCTGTGTTGATAATGTTAGGAAATTGTCCATGGGTCCTTATGCCCTGAGAGTTATCTTAAGAATCGCTTTTTGTCAAAAGACCAAAGAAGTTTTCCAGGAATCTTGATGCTCTGGGGTCTTATCTCTCCAGGAGCTTGCCTTTTGTCTTCAGCCAAAGGAATTTCCTGCCCAGGAGCAGCTCAGCTTGTACTTTGCCCAGGCCAGGTAGCCAATTTAGAGCTAAGGCAAGCCAGTTACAAACTGATGTTGCTACAATATTTTTTGATATTACGATTATACAAAAAAGGGAGGTCATAACATAAGTTAGCAGTGGAAATTCTGATATTTCAGAGCTTTTCCCGAGCTATCCGGAATCTGTCAGACGATAGCCGTTGCATAGCTTGTGTCAGGTTTCACTAAAACTTCCTTTAATTCAAAGGACATTTTACATATTTATGAAAAGTAGACAGGAAGAGAACATTGGTTTTGGTGTCAGACAGACCTGTCTACAACTCCCTTTTCTTTACTAGCTCTGTGACCTTTGACAGACAGTTCAAATTGTTGGTCAAGTTACCTAGTCTTTACATGCCTCAGTTTCCTTACTTCTAAAGAGCAGGTCACTAACCCTTGGTCATCTTCAAAATAAAAGTAACAAATTTTCATAGATTTATTATTGATGATAAATGGGACAATATACTTAACAGATTAACACCAAACCAGGTACATAGTAAAGCAATCACTTCACATGAACAATTATAATATAAAACAGAAATAGAAGAACAACTAAAGAGTAGTGAAAATGGCAAAAATAGTCCTGTATTTTGTTAACTGAAGGACACAAATTTGACTCTAAGCTTTCTTTCAGCCAACTTAGAGATAGACATATGATTGATTATATAGTTCACAGAGAACGTAGTTATGGTAGTTAAATATTACCTGGCCAAACCACAACCACCCTTCTCTACCCCATCATTTGATTTCCAAATAATGTCTTTATACACACACAAGATTCTGAAGACTTGTTTAGTTACACTAAGGGATCCCCAACTTTGCCTGAATTCCTTCTTAGCATTTACCACAGAGCACCTCCGCTCCCTCTCCCTCTTTTTTTGATAATACATGTAGGAAAGGGACCCAGTTAAGAGTCTCCTACTTAGCACATGTTGTTTTCAGAAAGTCCAGTACCTGCATGAGTCCACCAGTGGATCTGGGTTATATTGTTTACTTCCCTCACCCACTATCATGCATTCCTTAGTCAAAGTGACCACCTTATTTATCTTTACATACTAACTCATTTGTATCCCACAGTGGTGGGGGCTGGTGTTTGTGACTTGCAGCCATAAGTGAACATGTATAGAGAAGTTATTGGCATAGGGCCTAGCTATAATTGTTGTTATTTTTTTTTTAATCCAACACTGATGCCAGGATTTAAGGCTTAAATCTTAGTATTTTAAATGAAAAATAAAATCTTTATTAACTTTCCTTCCTGGGTACTGATGTGCAATGACTTGTGTTATTAAATGTTGGAATGAAATAGAATTGGTTTTCTTTTAAAAAGGAGAGAAGTATAATTCTAGCATGTCAGTATATTTTGGAGTAGGTATACTTATCAATTGCCTTTCCTGACCTGTATATCATTGTAACTCACGGAAAGTCAGGTCAGAATCTCATATCTCAAAAAGATAGAATTTCTACCTACAGAGGAAATGTAGAAAGGTATCAAAATATATTCTTAATCTGTATATTGAGGTTATTATAAAATGACCTAAATTTTCATTAGAAAATGCTTACATTTCTTTATTTGATGTGATACTTCTCTTTCCATGTACTTATTAGTGTGAAAATCAGCTCATCTTCTCTAAATATCTATTCCCAAACCAGTGCAGCATGGCCCTCCCCTCATTTATCCAAGTTCATAAAACTGCATGAGAGATACAGTGGCACATATTCAGTGTGCTGTTTCTTTTCCTTTCTTGTTTACAATTAAGGGCCTTAGTCTAATTTAATTTATAAGCTAGGAATCCTTTAAATGATAAACAGGAAACTAAATGAGAAGATTGAGATAAGGAGCTCACACAGTGCCAGCTGACTTGCTTTCTGTGTGGTAACTAGGCTTGGATTCCAACTGTAGAATAAATAGGGTTGAAGTTGACCAAAACAGTGTTTTCCTAACCATGTTCTTCTTTTCCAGCCCCTCTGCTCTTATCCTTTCTGAAACCAACATGTCACTGAAAAATGAATCAAAGGTAAACACATCTGCACTGAAGAAAATTGCTGCTGACATGAGTGATTTGATAGATAATCTAGACACACGAGAGCTCCACTTTGATGGAGAGGAGGTGGAGTTTGATGTGTCACCAAGTGATCCCAAGACACAGGAAGGTAAGGACTGATAAGTTAAGCCAGAAGAGTTTGTTGGATTGCTTGGCAGAGTATATGTGTAAAGTGCCGGGAAAAGTATGGCTCCTTCCTGCAAATATTATAACATTGGGCTGAATCATTAGTTGTTTTTCTGTTTGTTTCAGTATATTATAATTCTTTAAAAAAATGCCCATGAAAGTCAGGTTATACTAATATCATGATTTCTTGTAATAATTTTGCCGATTTATTTTTTAGAGAGTATCCCATTCTCTGCTATTTATGAGACTCAAGGATTTAAGGAACCTAACATACAGACCTACCTCTCCGGCTGTCCAGTGAAAGCTCAAGTTCTCGAAGTGGAGCGCTTTACATCCACAACAAAGGTTAGAGTCGCTATGGATGGACTCATCTCATATTTGGCAAGAAATTTGAATTAATGTATTGACTTCCATTTAATTCTTCCTGAATATTACTGTATTTTTTGTTTTCTGTAATAATTTCCACATCCTCATCATCTCTCCAAATTCAAAGATCCAAGTAAATGTCAAGGCTCATTTTTTAAAATGTCATTTTCTCAAAATATGTCACCTAGAGCAATATACAAGGTTAACATATTGTAAAGGACCACTGCTAGTCTTACTCACGCCCAAATTTTCTGTTGAATTTGGACTCTTGGATGTCAGATATATGTCAGATATATGTCAAAGAATAGTTTGGCTTTCCTAATATTGGTTGAGCAAAACAATGATGCTCTGGCTCTAATTAAGTAGACAGACAGACAGACACACACATACATACATACATAAAAGGAGCTGGGCTGGCCCAGCCAAAGCACTGCTGAGAGAATTCCATGGGCAAACTGTGTCCCTCTCTTTGTTTCTAGCATCCTGCACTTTCTGTCTCATTCACATTTGCTCATCAAACACTGGAAAGACTTTGGGAATCAAATGTTTTTATCAATACACATAAAAGAAAAAAGCATACATTGTTAAAAAAAAAAGAACAATGATGTGAAATATCGTATGTAAATAAATATTTAATATATATAAAATACTTACACAATATGTATTTTGTACATGTTGTACAATATGTACAATATGTTGTACAATATGTAATGTATATATATACTAATAAAATGTCTTTATCAAGCAAAGTGCTCCCGTTTGAAATGGACTGGTGAGGGGAAGACATGAAGGCAGCTGGGTGTGCCCTGGTGCTGCCTGGTTTCACATTGGTCAAGTCTGACAGTGGGGGACTTTGCTACAGGTGTTGGCCTTTGTCCCTTCACATCAATCGCTGGCCACTGTCCCAGAGGAAGTGTTTTATGGTTCGTGTTTTTGCTGGGCAGGCTTGCCTCCTTGCCTTCTTGATTGTGGAGGCTAGTAGGTGCGGCCTTGGTGCTGATGGTTTTGCCTGGTGCTCTGTCCTGACCTACCTCGGTGTCCACTTTTTATTCAGGTTTTATTTAGGTTCTTCGTATGAGTAGGCAGTATAGTCACTTCCATGGTTCATGTCTCCTGAAGTACCACAGAACACAGATTACCTAGAAATATCTACAGAGAGATGACCTTTGCCTTCCTGTTTTGCCTAACAGCTTATAAAATGAGAGGCTATACCAGTAGGAATGGGGGGTGTTAAATACACAGACTCCAAGGCCAGGCCACATGGTTTAATTTCTGCCCTTGCCTTGTAATCTCCTGCAAGATACTTTATAAGGATTTAGTAATACTAACAGTGTTATACACATAGATTATATATCATACCCTCCAAGAATACATTATATACTACCATGGATTATTATTACAAGGTATCTCTTAAGGTTGTTCATAAAGATAAACATTCAAGCCAGCTATCAGACTGCTCACACTCTCCTGTTAGTCAAGTAAGTTTGGTTTAGTTCTGTTTTAAATTTAATACTATATGAGAAACCAAAGAATCATTCTTACTCTACTTAGTGTTTAGTCTACTCAGACTAAACTCAGACTAAATTTGTGTGGTGTGAATGTGATTCCATGTATACACAAATAACATTTTCTGATTCCTGAATACATTTTCATGCCAGCTCAAGGCCGGGCACTCTCTTTGCTACCTCATGACAGATGGCACTACCTGCCTTTCCTGGCTGGAGCGCTTCTGTTTGCCCCTCTAACCCTCCCACCACCCTCTTCACTCTGCTCACTGTCCCTTGAACTCTCCTGCCTTGTCCTCTGGAAGCACTCAGAAAACTAAGAACCAAGATAGGTCATTTGGATGATCCTGGACCTGCTATGTCCCTCATCCAAAGGCACCTGTTCCCCAAGACAATCTTATTCTCACCACGCCCTCCTTCCTGATTTTAACACCTTAGTTGTATTGAGACTAGGGATGCGTGGGTGAGCCCCAGGTTAGTGTCCACTTTTTGTGATTTCCTTACCCCTGTCACACCTTCCCAGGAAGTCCTTTTATTAAAGCCCCACAAAGTATCTTAATTCAAAAGAATCCCAGCAGTTCAACGGGGAGGTTTGTTGATAGATGTGACTCTTGACTGATGCTTCACAGCTGGCATGCTATACTGCAGGAATTTAAACCTTCAAAAAGTGTGCGACAGCTGTTTCCTTTGTACCATAGGACTCACAATTGCTAAGTGTAGTGTCAAAATTCCAGGTTTATTTGTGAGGGCTAAAACTTGACATTTGGAATATTTTATAAGGCTTCATTTTTTTAGATTGAGAAGTAAAATCCTGGGAAATGTGGTGGCTTACCTAACTTGTATAAATTTTCTTGTTTGACTCATTTTAAATTGAGCATTGTTCTCTTGAATGCAGTTTGTGATCACTCTCAGTTTTGCTGCATCCTTTTCTGTAACAAGATGATGCTATAATGTCCAAGGGGAAAGGCAGCAAATAATATTGAACACCAAAACTGTATTCCTACAACTTCTGGTTACAGATCCTAACTAAAGTCAAAGCAAAGGTGAGATGTAAAAATTTGCTAGTGATCCCATTGGATTCCAGGTTTATAAGCACAAGTTGCATGGACTCACATGCTTGTGATTTTATATACTATCTCTACATAGAGTGGTCTTAAAATGTCTACATAGAGTGGTCTTGCTTTAGAAGTGAGCAAAATGTCAAATATCAGTAATGAAAGGCAGCCAGAAGTCACCCAGAGATTGCTGATACCAGAACCAGAATAAACTAGCAGAACAGGAGACTTGTTCACTCTCTTATCCCCAGCACCCATGATGTTTAAATCTCCCTGCAGGGACCAGTGAATTGCACGTAGTTCAGAGTGCAAACCACCTTCACCACACCAACTTCCTTGAAAATCTTCTGTGCTTTTCTTTTTACTGTAGCAAAACTACTAGTGCCTCTGATTGAAAGAATTTCCTAATCTCTAAGATATAGTTCAGTTTTAATAAGGAGTGTTGAAAATTTCTAAAATGAAGATTGATTTTGGTTAAATTTCAGGAAAATGTTTTGTATGTAGGAAGATCTTTTACTCCTTTCCTTCTAATCATCCTGTATCTTCCCGGCCACTGGTGGCACCTCAGGGCAGGGAGATGTTGTAGACAAGACAGTTCCAGGAATGCGTCTCAGAAGAGACAGCATTACTGTCACTTGTGATGGGGCCAATGTTACTGCTTCCATTTTTCTGTTCACTCAGTGTGCTTTGGACAAACCCCTCATGGCTAATTAATCACTCTGTCTCCTTTACCCAATTTCTGCTTCCAAGGGTATTGTGTGTTTGCATTTGGAGCAATAGGATTTGTAGGGGTTTGTCTTTGGTGTGATTCAGAACTTGTCTCCTACATACATATTTTAAAGATTTATTTATTTATGCATACAGAACTGGGGTAGAGGCCAGAGGTGCAGGGGCAGTGAGAGGATTCACCAGAAACAAAGTGGGGGTGCAGAATAGGCAGATCGACGAAGTACACTGCTGAGGGGAGCAGCGGGTGGGTCAGGTGACCCTTGTGGATCACCTCCACGGCCGGGATCAAGCACATGTTGAACTGGCTTTAGCTTCTTAGTGCTGTGCTTTAACCCACTGTGCCACTAGTGAAGGCTCTGTCTTCTATATATTTTAACATGAACATTTAAGAAAATATTACTTTTGTAATCAGTTGTTTTAGAAAAATTTGCCTAAATACATACCCAAAATATGTAGGTTGGATTAAAGGTATTTCCAATTACTTATTAATGAGCTTTTGTTTATAAGAGATTTTGAATTTTTTGTTATGTAAAATACCAGCCGTTTTCCATTTATTACCATAGGGACCAAGTATCAATCTTTACACTATTGAATTAACACATGGGGAATTTAAATGGCAAGTGAAGAGGAAATACAAGCACTTTGAAGAATTTCACAGAGAGCTGCTCAAGTACAAAGCCTTCATCCGTATCCCCATTCCCACCAAAAGGTAATTCTCCCAATTAATTATAAAGTTATCCCAGTATGCAAGTGGGGTGGAAAGAGATTCCATTTACATTATGGGTTATCTAATCCTTTTGGATATCTTGAGATTAAAAATATGGCTATTTTACAATTGAATGGTCCCTTTTAAAATTAGCTGTTTCATGAACGATACTGTGAGTCATAGTTCTCAAACCAGTCTAATAATTGCTGCATTGTGTTTGTGTGTGCATGTGCATGTATGCCCCTGTGTGTATTTCAGACACACATTTAGAAGACAAAATGTCAAAGGGGAGGAGCCTCGAGAGATGCCAAGTTTGCCCCGTTCATCTGAAAACAGGGACAGAGAGGAACAGTTCTACAGTAAAAGGGTAAGTTCTTCCACTGCTATTGTTTCGAACTTCATTGTGTAGAAACATGGTGACTGCTGATGAGTAAGATGAGCCTGGCTTTGACCCACTGGTCTAAATCCAGGCTTGTTTAGCTTCTCTGAAACTACTTGACAATCCGTACTTCCCCAAACCACTCTGACTCAGGAGGCTACACAGCCCTGTCTTCCTGGTCTCTAGGAAGAGGAAGACTGTTCTTTGACATGAAGAAACTGCCCTCCCTGTAGGGACCTCATAGGGCTCATTGTGAGTCAGGTTTTAGCTCATCTTCGGGGGCTTTGAGATCTACTGTTGAAATAATATATTTCTATATTTGCTTCAGTATTTGTAGTAGCTTGCTGTAAATATATGTAAAATCCCACTCCCAAACTCTGGATGGGGCATTTAGGGTCTGAGAAGAGTGGGCCAGAACACAGACAGGTGCAACAGGATCTAGCGGGGGACTGGCCTGCTCGGCTTCCATGACGTAGTGTTGCATACAGTGAAGGGTTGTTACTAGTTGTTTTTATTTTTTTTAAAGATTTATTTATTTATGCATACAGACTGGGGAACAGGCCAGAGGTGCAGGGGCAGTGAGAGGCTTCACCAGAGACAGAGTGGGGAGCAGAACAGGCAGATCGACGAAGTACACTGCTGAGGGGAGCAGAGGGCGGGTCAGGAGAGGTCTGCCACGCCATGTGGTCTCCTCCAGGGCAGGCGGGAATTGAACTCCTGAGAAAGTGGCTTTAGCTTCTCAGTGTTGTGCTTTAACCTTAACCCGCTGAGCCACCAGGGAGGGCCTGTTACTAGTTTTTAATAAATGGTAACAGTAAATTCAGTTCTATTTTATAATCTGAGATTTTATGTTCTAGAATGGGCATTGATTTCTCCTTTTTAGTTGTCATCTTGGTTAAACTCTCTTTAAGAATCTGGAATAAATATTTGCCAAGATATCTGGGCATATAATATCCCAGTTTTGGATTACTCTATGTACATATTGAGTCCAGTTCAAAATGTTGAACTCTGGCTTTAACAGTTCTTCAGTGTATACCAGAGTCAGTATAATTCATATCACCCCCCGTCCCCTCCCCCAAACATTGAGCATATGTCAATGGAGGTTACAGTTCACTAGGAAAAAAATCTTTTCTTTTAGATGTCCCTTTTTTTTTTTCCCCTGGAAAAGCTGTTTTAAAAAATGTAGTTTATTGGGCTCTCCCTGGTGGCATAACAGGTTAAAGCTCTGCACTATGAAGTTCTCAGAAGCCACTGCAGCATGAGTTCGATTCCCAGCCAGGGAGGTGACCCACATGGTGTAGCAGACCTCTCCTGACCCACCCCGCTGCTCCCTTCAGCAGTATGTTCAGTACATCTGCCTGTTCTGTTCCCCACTCTGTCTCTGGTGAATCCTCTCACCCACCACACCTCTGGCCCATACCTCAATTCTGTAAGCATAAATAAATAAATCTTTAAAAAAAGAAGTGGTGTATCTTCCAATAAATTTAGTTTTAACTAAATTTAGTTTATAAATTGAGAAAATTTAGTTTTTTAATAAAAACAACAAATACTTTAAGACCACTCACTATGGTAAATCCTGTGTTAATAGCTAGGGAAAATAAAAATATATATACAGCTTGGGTCTTGTCAGCAGTTTATTAAAGACCTAAGCATGTGAGAATTTCAGTAAGAAGAAGAGATGTGTTTTATGTGTGTGTGTGTGTGTGTTGAGTTGCATTTTTAAAAATGATAATGTTTTTGATTGAGTAAAAATTGGTTTACAACATGGTGCATGATTTAGAGGTGTAGGGTCATACCTAAAAAGAGACTTAAATTATGTTTCAGGAGAGCTATGGAAATAATTTGTTAATGCTATTCCCAATTCCTGTCCAGTGACAATATTAATAAATCCTTGAATAACATACAGAAGTTAAGATGTTTCAATGATCACATTGTTTTTGCTTACATTTTCTGTAAATATAATGTTTTCTTATCTAAAATATTTGTATTACAGAAACAGCTAGAAGACTACTTGACAAAATTACTGAAAATGCCAATGTATAAAAATTATTATGCAACAGTAAGTACCGTTCAGTGATTTAAATTTTGAAGTACTTTATAGAATAGTAAATTGTCAACTACATTTTAGATAATTTTATCAACACAAATGCTTATTTACAATTATGTGTTATTCCTTGAGTTTAAGATAGATGAAAGAAAATAAAATTGATTGACAACAAAGATCCAATAGATGGTGATCAAATATAACTTGATGTGTCTAAAATAATATATTTTAATAAACTTGAAATGCTACTAAGCATAGGTTATCTAGAAATCAACCTTCTTTCCTCAGAGTTTCAAAGCCAAAAACACTTATAATCCTAAAGAAAAATATTGGGTAAGTGGATGAAAATAGTTGAATAGAGTTGAATACCCAAAGACCATAATGAACACAGCGAGATTGCCATATAATTGGCTTGTGAATTACTATAAAAAGCCTGTTTTTTTCATGTGAAAGTGAGAAGCATGGGAAAAAACAGAGAGAGAAAAAGTCTTTAGGAAATCGGAGAATAAAGGAGAGGCGTAGGAACTTAGAAGCTGGGAGGCCCACAGGAAAGAGTGGCCTTTATAGAAGGTGTCAGAACACCCTGTCATAGGCCCTTAGAAGGGGCCTCCATTATCCAAGGTTCAGACAATGGAGACTGCACTGGATAATTAAAGTTTTAACCCGTGTATATATAAGGCACGCTGTTGGGGGTTGAATGTAGGATTATGTGTATGTGCAGAACTTAAGGGTAGGTGCAATTATGATTTGGCCTCTTATTTAAAGTGTGGCCTCATGTCACAGAAAATGGGCCACCCTCTATGTATTTACTAGCAGAAGTAAGAGCACTTGGGTTCTTTGGGGTGTTCAGAAACTTGCAGCTTGCACATGTTTTTTGGAGGCTAAGAATGCTCCAGCTGGTCCCTCCTGTACACAGCCGACCTGGGGCAGGTTGACTGCCCGCCTTTTGTAGCTTCCACTGTGATGTTCTTTGTACTCAAGGAATGTCTGTGGCCCGCTAGACTGGAGAGGAGTTTTTCTCAGGGAAGAGCAATTTGGATCCAAGGAGGGATCTCAGAAAAACATAATGAAAGAATTTTGTCCCTTCTAGGAACCAGGATTGTGCATTTTTAAAAAATGTAATGAATAAGTATTTTACTGCTATCATTACTAAAAATGTTGCCACCCATTTTCTCTGAAGTTGATATTATTTTCTTTAATAGAGAATTATTTAAATGTGTACTCATACTTGTATGCAGTAGTTTTTCATTTCTTTTTCTTTTCTTCCTGCCTGTGATTTTGTTTATGCTATTTCTGTTGGCTTTCAAGCGGTATTTGCTGAGTTCAGTCTTTTCTTTCTATTTATATACGTTATTATATTTTGGATTCTCATGTGGATGAAAGATGTTTACTTTCTTTAAATGTTCATTTTAATTTCTTTAAATTAAGTTAAATTTCTTTCTTTAAAATGTTCATTTTAATGTCCAATCATAAAAACATTTTCAAAGTTGAGCCATATATTCTTTAGAAACTCCACAATGCCTTCTACATATTTCTTTTGGAAGGGAAAACCTGTTAGAACTAATATACTGTACTACTCTTTATTCCCCAAGCAAGAGAATTCACCAAAATGATACAAGCATAAACACCATTTCATCTTTGTTGATTCTCAAACACTATCTTTCTTTCCTACTAAATTAATATGATTTATAGACTTTTTTTGTAGGCTTTTACCTTGTATTTATGAAATTAGATTAGTATCTGTGTCTCCTTTCATAGTTGTAAGAAATATTAAAGCTATCTGCAAAATAAAAGTTAAGAGACATCTTCATATAATCACATATGCTCAGTAATATATTCTGTATAATCACATATTTTTATAAGTGTAAAACTAAGCTATTATAACTATATTTGTGTCCTGAAGCTAATAGCATCATAAATAACAGCTTAGGGGATCAGAGAGGACAATGCACCTATTTTAATAAAATTTCAGTGAATTTAGCTATGGACAGCTTTTCTATTTATTTTTTTATGGTCAGTGGTTGGGTTACTATTTAGAAAACACCATTTCTTTTGGGTTTATGAAGACTGCTTTGTTTTTCTTTTTTGGGGGGGTTCTGGAAAACAAAGTAGTCTATAGTTTTAGTGAATTCAGCATCAGACAAGATTATTAATCATTCATTCTTTTTTCTTGACTCACTTGTAATATGGAGATAAATGTATCTGGCTTCTTCACAAGGCATTAGTATGTAAAAAAAATTAATTATAAAACAGCATGTAAAATGGCAGACAGTGTTCCTTTTGTGCTCTGTGCTAAACCCACTAGCTGGGCTTTTTTTTTTTAAGATTTTTTTATTATGCATACAATGAAGTGTGGAATATAGGCCAGAGATGTGGAGGAGGAGTGGGGAGCAGGACACGTGGTTCTACTGAAACACACTGCTGAGAGGAGCACAGGTAGGTGAGGAGAGGTCTGCTGCACCAAGTGGGTCACCTCCCCGACTGGGGATTGAACTCTTGCTGCTGTGGCTGCATATAGCTTCATAGTGCCTGTTGTGCCACCAACAAGGACCCTATCTGGGCATTTTAACTGGTGATGGAAAATGCTTATCTTCAGGAACTTAAAGGAGGAATTATTAGGAATAGTTTATATAGCTCTTTTCTAACTAAAGATTAAAAATTTAGAAATGGAACAGAATTCATCATTTCCAAGAGAAGGGCCCTAAGCTGATAGGGTAATATATTAATTTCAAGTAAACACCTTACTCTTGTAATTCAGACTCCTTAACCTCAGGAGGGTTATATCAAGCTAAGCACCATTCTGGAGATAAGGAATCTGAGAGTAAACATCTCACAGATCAAAAATATTAATTTTTCCTCTTCTTTGTTTAGTAGGAAGTCAAAGTTTAGCTAGGGAAGAATGGGTAAAGAGTCATAAAGCTGCTCACCTTGTTTCCATGCCAACAGAGAAAAGCCATACTTATTTAAACAGCTGCATTGCAAATTAAAGGAAATATTGTCATTCTTGTGATTGAGTCAGAGTTGGGGGGGTGGGTCTTAGGCCTTGGGCAAAACCTGTTTCCCCCACAGATTAGATAGATGTCTTCTATATTAAAAAAAAGGTTCACTCTAAATGGAAACCAGTTACACACACACAAAAAAAAATAGAAACTCTGGAGAGGAGCTTTGTTAACTGTTTTACCCTGAAGGCAACCTTTCCTGGAGCAGTTGAACCTGATTTTAGCCTTTACCAACAGGCACTACCAATTCAGGCCCCCCTCTACCCAAGAGTAAAGGGGGCCTTTGAACCCCTCCCCTTCTAATTCAAAAGTGAAGTAAAGCTGATTGTGAGTTAATGAACAGGATGTGTTGTTGCCCTTAGAGTTTATTTCTTTACCCTTGTCATGGGAACCTTTTATTTCCCTATTGTCCCAATATTTAATTGACTTTTTACATATTCCTTTGTGGGGCAGAGATTGATCAGTACATTGTCTGTCCAAGATAAGCCTTATGGAATATTTTCCAACTAAATCGATAATTAAATTCTTATTTCTGAGAATCACCAAATGGAGAATGGAATTCTTTTCACTGATAGTGTCAGCGCTGAGAAGTTTGGAAAAGCATAATCTTTGTTAAATTTCAATTTGTATTTTTTAGGTTTGCGTTTAATTTGACCTTACCACATAAACCTACTAAATCGGTATAACTACTAAATCTGTAGAACATTTACTGTCAGAGTTTTCTTTCTCTAAAATAGAGGTAGTTATTTAAGTTTCTCTTTAAACTTTAGAAAACATGAGGATAAATTTAAACATTGTATTATAACAAATTTAAATGTTTTTAATTGCTAACACATTTTTCTATTTAGATAAACATGTTTGTATGTAGCAATTTTACAATTTTCAAAAGTTTTGTTTTCTGAATTATTGCAGAGCATATTTCTGTTGTCAACTATTAAATGATAAGAGTTTTACGAGTAAAAAATTATTCAGGTATTTTATAAGTGGTTTCCTTGACTTTTTCTTTTCTTCTTTTTTTTTTTTTTTACATAGAAGAACTGAGGTATAGGTAAGAGGTGCAGAGTAGGGGTGAGAGGATTCACCAGAGATAGAGTGGGGAGTAGAACAGGTAGATGGACCACTAAGGGGAGCAGCAGATGAGATAGAAAAGGCCTCATGCACCATCTGGGTCACCTCCCTGGCAGGGATAGAGCTCAGGCCATACAGGTGACAGCATTGAGACTAACCTGCAGACCACCAGGGAGCCCTCGACTTTTGCTTTTTCATTTCCTATTAGTTCCATCAACTGTCTTGTGAAATTTCATAAAACGATAGTTTCTTCCGGTGTAAAATAGGATAAACTTTTTTTCTCTCTGTTCTCTGGAGATAAAATGAGAAATTGTGGTTTAGGATTTTAAAACATTTGGATTTGAATGCTCAAAGTTTATGGTGTCACTTCTGATAACCTATCTATTGCTACATTTTCTAGTTAGAAAGCTTTTCCACAAATCAGATTTAAAAATGATTGGTACCAACTCACCATTTTTATACAAGAAATGAAATATAAAGACCTTGATTTTTAAAATCCTTATTAAAAATACTGTGTGAGGAGATATTTGATTTGGAGTATGAAACTCCTTTTGAATTTTAAAGAGTTCCTTAAATAACCCTAAGAAAGTAATGTACTCATTTAATTGGTCTTCATAAGGACTGACAACTCTTAGAAGGTTGTAATTTCTTCTTATGAGATTAATATAAAAAATTAACCTAATAGGTTAATTATTATGAAGTTGATAATATTGTATATCCAACCATAACTACACAACTTTCCAGTTGTGTGGGCAACTACACAGTTGCCTTCTATCTGTGATACTATGTTAGCTAGGAAATGGTCACTGTCCTCTCTTCTACTGTCCCTACTCTCATGTGTAATGTTATAGTTTGTTCCACAGAACTTTGTAGATGTGGAATAGTTTTCATGACTTGTCTCCCCACAGATTTCTGAAATGCTGAGAACATTTCTTTTCTGTCTTTGATTTTCTATTAAAGTTATTCCCATGGTCTGTGACCACTGGCAGATTTGGGCTTACCATCGCTATTTTTTTTTTTAAGATTTGTTTATTTATGCTTACAGAACTGGGATACAGGCCAGAGGTGTGGTGGGTGAGAGACAGAGTGGGGAGCAGAACAGGCAGATTGACAAAATACACTGCTCAGGGTAGCAGCGGGTGGGTCAGAAGAGGTCTGCCACACCATGTGGGTCAGCTCCCTGGCCAAGGATCAAATTCATGCTGCAGTGACTTCATAGAGCAGTGCTTTAACTAGTTGCGCCATCAGGGAGAGCCCACCGTTAATATTTTTAAAAATAATTCTGTAATTAGAAGCAAATAATGTCCAATGCTAGTTGTTCCTAAGATTTTATGAGGTAAAACTGCTGTGTATGCTAGCAAATACATACTTCTGATTTTGTTTTCCTTCTGTGCCTCCATCTGTGCATTTAGTGCTTAACTCACTAAAACAAGTTGGTCAATTTGATTAAAATAAATGGTGAATGACATTTTGCTTTTGCAACTTAGTTTTTGAGGATACTGACTGGTCTAACTTGGTGTCAACTCTACCCCTTGCTAATTATGTTATCTTGGACAATTTACTTCACTTTTCTAAATCAGGTATTGGCAAACTATGGCCTATGGACCAAAGTCAGCCCAATTCCTGGTTTTTGTTATGACCTGTGTGCTAAGAATACATATTACATTCTTAAATGGTAGAAAAATAGGCCCTCCCTGGTGGTGCAAGTTAAAGCACAGCACTAAGAAGCTAAAGCCAATTCAGCATGAGTTCAATCCCTACCCTGGGAGCTGACCCACAGGGCTCTGCATACCTCACCTGACCCACCCATTGCTCCCCTCAGCAGTGTGCTTCATTGATCTGCCTGTTCTGCTCCCCACTCTGTCTCTCACCAACCCTGCACCTCTGGCCTGTACCCCCATAAATAAATAAATCTTTTTTTAAAATGGTAGAAAAATATAGAAAGAAAAATATTTCATTGCACATAAAATCAACTTTATATTTTATTATTCATAAATAAAGTTTTCTGGCCTACAACCATGCTTATTTATTTATGTATTATCTGTGACTGCTTTTGTGTTTCAGTAGTTTGTAGGGCTCATAAAGCCTAAAATAAATTTACTGTTTGACTCTAAAAGAGTTTGCCTTCCCTTGTGGTAAAGCTCAGTTTCCTTTTTGATACAAAGACAAATATTGCATCTATGTTAGAGAGAGTTTAAGATAATCATGAAAAATGTTTTGTTTAGGACCAGCAGAAATACATGTTAGCCATTGATCTTGGTATTATAATGCTTGTAGCTTTTAATCTGATTATAATTTAGATACCAAGGTGAGTTTACTATATAAACTTTTCCTACTTGCTAAAAATGTAATTGTCTTTACAGTGTATGTAATATTTAGCTTAGGTAATTATTAGAATAATTCCGAGACCCTCCCTGGTGGTGCAGTGGGTTAAAGCACTGCACTGAGAAGCTAAAGCCACTTCCGCATGAGTTCGATTCCCGCCTGCCCCGGAGGTGACCACATGGCGTGGTCATGTGGTCACCTCTCCTGACCCGCCCGCTGCTCCCCTCAGCAGTGTACTTCATCGATCTGCCTGTTCTGCTCCCCACTCTGTCTCTGGTGAAGTCTCTTGCCACCCCTAGGCCTCTGGCCTGTACCCCAGTTCTGTATGCACAAATAAATAAATATTTAAAAAATAAATAAATAAAAACACAAGAATATTGGGAGTACATTTTCGCTGTGACCTTCATGAGCATTTTGTCTGTATGTCTTGAACATGAATCACTTTCTTGTCTATGTTTTAATTACATATAGACTTCTAACCTGTACTCTTCCTGGGCAATTCTGAGGTTATTGATTTGTGCAGTGTGTAGAGTACCACAGACATATCTGTGTTTTGAATGCATAAATTTCTGTCTTCTTTTCTTACCTTTCTAAAGTATGGATTTTTGACCTTTTTTTCAGACAGAATTTCTTGATATAAGCCAGCTGTCATTCATCCATGATTTGGGACCAAAGGGCATGTAAGTTCCAGTGTTGAATCTTTAACCAGATGTGTAAAAAGTTGATACTGCATGAACATTTGCTTCATCTGCTTGCCATGATAAGACAGTTTGCCTGGCTTTACTGTGAGCTACATTTTTTACCAACAGTCAGAGCAACTGAGGGGATCTGTTTGCACAAAACAAAGTGTCTTGCTACGTTAAACAAGGGCAGCCGCTGCTCCACCCTCTCTCTCTGTGTTTTTAAAGAACAGCTTTCCTTTAGCCCAAAATAGCAGTTTTAATATGGCTAGCAAATAAAAATGTTGGAGGATGTATTAAAAAATCAAATACACAAATTCCTTCCTCTAATCCCCTTGAAAAGATATCTTTATCACTCATTTTCATGACTAAAAATACTATGTAAAATGTTATATAAGAGCATTAAAATTTACTGATTTTCCTTAATTATACGAGAACTTGACAGTGCAAAGAACTTCTTTCGTAAAAGCATTGTTTAGTTTTAAATTATTTCTTCTATTTCACCATTACTACTGATCTTTCTTTTCACATTTTTCAAGATCAGGATATTTTTCTTTTCAAAGTTACAAGCTTTGCTTTACTTCCTTGGGCATTACCTGACTGTAGAACTGTAGGTAAAGTAAAGCAGAGATGTCCTGGAATCTGGGGTGGGTATTTTCATTGGTCTCCGCTGCAGCTGAAGCAGCCCTGTGCAGGTATTTGGCAATGGCAGGGATTTGTTCAAACTGCAGCCATGACTGGAGGCATTCTTCGGCATTGAGAGCCAGAAAACCAGCTATCTTCATTCTGGCAGGGTGCCCAATAGAATAGTGCTGAAGCCAGCACCTGGCCAGTATTCTGGAAGATTAGCGGCAGAGTACCCAGGCTAGCTAATGATGGTCAGGGTGAACAGGAAAGAATGGGGAGGCGGCACTTGAGAGTGAAACCTCACATTTAGTCCCAAGCCAAGAGACTGTATCTGCTAAGTATAAATAGGAAATTTGAAGATGATGGGTTAACTTGATATCTTTTTCAGAGAAGGAATGATAATGAAAAGATCTGGAGGACACAGAATACCTGGTTTGAATTGTTGTGGTCACGGAAGAGCCTGCTACCGGTGGTCAAAAAGGTAGGAATTACTTATGAATTTTGTATGTTTGCTGTAAAAAAACTGAATATTGGGGTTTCTTTTTTACATATTCGTTTAGGTTGCCTATCATATAGAAATCCTTTGAAAGTCATACCAGAGAAAACATTAATTTATTTAAAAGTTCACATTTCAGTATCCATTTAAACATTCTGTTTAAACTTGAACTTACAGGCAATTTATGCAAATTACATTATATATATATATGTGAAACCTGGTGGGTGTTGAGGTTCAAAACTTGGTTTGCCAAACAGCTTACACAAGTCGCCAATCAGTACAAGTAAATGTGTGCTACTGGTATATGCTATGTTATGAATTTGTTTTTAGAGAAACACAAATCAACATCACAGTAAGATTCATCTTCATACTCACTAGGATGACTGTAGTAAAAAAGGATGGATACTAACAAGTGTTGGCAAGGATTTAAGGAAAGTGTAAGTAACCCTCTTATACTTCTGGTAGACACTGACTGGTTCAACCACTTAAGAAAGCTCTGTAACAGTACTCTAATGCTAAATATAGTATTACTCTATGCCCAGCACTTCATGGTATTCCATGAATTCTACTTCATGGTATTTACCCTAGAAAACTAAAAAAAATTGTTTATAGCAATACTTAACATGAGCATTCATGACAGCAATATGCAGAATGACTAATAAATGAGACAACCCAAAGACCCATCAAATGCTATATGGCTAAACAAAATGTAGTGTATTATTTGGCCATTAAAATGAATGAAAACTGTTAATGAGTATAGGGTTTCATTTTGGGTTGATGAAAATATTGGGAATTACATGACTGTGATAGTGCAGTTTTATAAATATATTAAAAACCATTGAATTGCATGCTTTAAAGGGGGAATTTTCTGGCATGTGAGTCACATCGGAATTAAAAAATTGAAATTTTAAAGAAAACATAAAAACAAAGTACTGGTATATGCTATGTTAAAAATGAACCTTTAAAACTTCATGCCAAATTAAAAAGAAAAAAGGACACAAAACACCACATGTATTTTTCCACTTGTGTGAAATGTCCAGAATAAAGGCTCTGTAGAGACAAGAGATTCATGGTTTCCAGGGACCGAGGGCAAGGGAAATCGGGCTGTTACTGTAACTGCTATAGGGTTTCTTCTTCTGGAAAAAAAAATATTCTAAAATAAGTGATGATGAGGTAAAACTTTGTAAATATACAGTACCCTTTAAAAATAAACTTAAAAAACAGAAAAAATTGGTGAGACTTTAGAGTGGTAATTTCAGAGTTATATTTGTGAAGATGTATATTATGTTTACTATAGTAAGTATCTATAGACAGAGACGTTTAATTCATATTCTGTATCCTACCCAACTAAAGACTCTTTGTGCAACAGTATGCTCACTGATTCTTATTTATTCCCTCAAAATACTCACTACAATGTGTTGAACATAATAGACAATAGCTATTTGTTGCAGTAATAATTTAATAGAATTAGAAAAAAAATAAGAAATATCTCCCCAACCTTGCAAAAGACATGTGAATATGTCTCACATATTAAATATGAAATTAAACTATGTGTTGACTAAAAATGTATAAATTAAAATTAAGATATGCTTTTAAACATAATTAAGCTCTATCATACCAACAACAAAAAATATGATTAAATTAGACTTATTTTCTGGGTCTTAAAAGGAGAGAAGAAATTATGAACAAGGAAAAGGTCAAAGGATTAGTGGTGTAATAAACATCAATTTCACTAATACAGAAAAGTTATGTACTAAAAATACTTGATTTCAAATCAAATTCTGTAGCTGATGTAAAAGTCCCTATAACTCAAGGTATAAGTGGCATCACAGGAAATTCAGAGATGCCATGTGAGGCATCACCACTGTAATTGAACAGAATCCTGGGAAATACGTAGAAAAAAAATGCCAAGCCAGGAGAGGAGTGGAGCAAAGGCCGCCTGCCCTGCCTTCCTGCTGCACACAATGCCCCGTGTGGAGGTTGCTCTGCCTAGCCCATTGGGCCCTGCTGCAGCTTCCTGCAGTACCATCCTATTCCTGGCTTCTGTGGCCACCCACAGCCTTTGCCAATCTTTCAGTAAAGATTTGCTCTGAGATTCCAAAGTCACCAGCTTGTATGCAGAGCACGTAGAAGCATTCCAGGAGCAACTCTCAACCAAGAGCTGGGAAAGTCTAGCCCTTTGTCCCTAGGATGGGCCACACAGCAAGTTCTACCATGTAAAAGCTCCTCATGGCAAGTTCTCAGTGCATGAAAGTCCAGCCTGGATGACTTCCTGTCAGCTCTGCCTTATTTATGCTCCCTAGTAAGTTCCTAATCTGTTTCTTTAGCAATCACAGTTGACCTGTGAGCAACATAAGAGTTAAGGGCACCGACTCCCAACACAGTGCAAATCCAAGTATAAGTTTGCTAATAGCCCCCTGTTGACCAGCAGCCTCATTGGTGATATAAATAGTCCATTAGTACATGTATTATGTTATGTGCATGATATAGTGTACTCTTCCAATATAATAGAGAAAAAAAAGATGTTATTAAAAATCGTAAGTGATTCATCCTAAACGTCTTCATTCCTGTCCTCCTCACTGGAAGTTGAGAAGGAGGAGGAAGAAGAGGAACTTTTGAAAGAAAATCTGTGTTTTAGTGGGCCTTTATGGTTCAAATCTGTGAAAGGGCCAGTTGTACTCTCATTTACATGCTCATCTCAGAGATGGCTACTGGCAGTTTCCCTTCACCATGGAACTCACTCGAGAAGGAATCAGGATATGCAAAGCTGATAAGCACAGTAAATGATACCGATGCAGGAAGTGATCAGAGACCTGAAGGAAAAAAGAAGCCCATGGAATAATGCAGGACTTGACTGAAGAGTGTGGCTTTAGCTCTAGCAGTCAATAACTGAAGTTAGAGTTATAATCTCCAAGAGAAGGAACAGTCAGAAAAGACAGTGGGGGTTCAGTGTGGGAAGAATTCATTATACAAAAGAAATACACTTTTTTAAAAAAGATTTATTTACTTATGCATACAGACCTGGGGTACAGGCCAGAGATGCAGGGGCAATGAGAGGATTCACCAGAGACAGAGTGGGGAGCAGAACAGGCTGACTGACAAGTACACTGCTGAGCAGAGCAGCGGACGGGTCAGGAGAGGTCTGCCGCGCCATGTGGTCACCTCCAGGACGGGGATCAAACTCATGGCTGAAGCGATTTTAGCTTCTCAGTGCTGTGCTTTAACCCACTGTGCTACCAGGGAGGGCCGGAAATATACCATTTTTAATTTTTTAAACTTTGGATTAATTTAGGCTTCAACACACACAATCTAACAAGGTATCAGCCTCCTTGGAATGAAATGTAAAACTTTCCATAAAGATTGACGTCTTAGTTTTATATTAATAAGTATTTCCTGAGTCACATTTGTGAGAGATAAAATATCAGTCCTAAATAACGATAATAAAATACCGCTGACAAATTTAGATTAGAAAGCTTCCTACAATAGAAAGCATCTGATGTGCAAGTAAAAGTAAAATTTATGGTGACTGTTATTTATAATTCTTTTTCACCTTTGTATCCATAAAAGAATATTTGGGTCAAATATTTATTCTACACTGACAAATCAAGATAAGGCAAACAGGGCATTATACTTTTAATCAAATATGATTATGATCTTATCTCAAAGACTATAAACATTAAAAACTACAGAGCCTTCCCTGGTGATGCAATGGGTTAAAGCACAGCACTATGAAGCTAACAGCAGTCCCATCAGTATGAGTTCAATCCCCACCCCAGAGGTGACTCACATGACGCAGCAGACCTCTCCTGTTTCACCCACTGCTCCCTTCAGCAGTGTACTTTGTCAACCTGCCTGTTCTGCTCTCCACTCTGTCTCTGATGAATCCTCTCACCACCCCTGTACCTCTGGCCTATACCCCATTTTAGTATGCATAAATAAATAAATCTTTCAAAAAAGAAAGCTACAATACAACAAATATTCCCACAACTTAAAACATCTTCTTAAAAACCACATCTATTTAAGAGTTACTTCTCTGCACCTGGTAGTGGACTATAAGTTTAACTCAAATAATATCTTAAGAATAAAAGATGTATAGCTTTTAAGATATAAATTTAGCATTTACTTAACTCTGAAAAGGAGTTAAAAATTTTAGATAGTAATCACATCTAAATGATTTCATTTACTCCCTGGGATCCACACATGTTACCATTAGCTGGAAAAGAAGGCTGTGTTGCCTAAAGACTTCCTCTGTTCTGCTACATCGTTATTCTAGGCATTAGGCAGACACCAGTGGGCACGGTGGATATGTCCATGCTTTCATGGACCTGTCTTTCTAGTGGAAGAGACAGAAAATAAACAAGCATACAAGTAATTCCCGTTAGTGATAAGTTCCATGAAGAGGCTGAACATGG